GGAAAACATCGTGGGGAATGCGCATATTTTCTTTCTTAAATTTAAAAATATTTTTATTGGAAGACTTGCCATATATACGAAAAAAATAAAAATTTTATACGAAATATATGCCAAGTCTTCCAATCCGCAGTGGTAGTTCTCCTATACTCCTATTACCTTCCTAACTCCTGACGCCCTCTGTACAGGAGACCTTTACCCAGCAGTGGGTACATATATAGTTCGTTGGTATTACACAAAAAAGTTAATGTTAACGGCATTACGTTTAATTCTTCATAATTGGTAACCCCTCATAACAGAAATGTCACATATATAACTGAACGCAAACTCCCAACCGTCACAGGAGTTTTGCGTCTTTTAACAACGTAGAGAGAAATAATTAGTTCTGCAAGTAATAAATTACGCATCAACCCACATGAGAATTCGATCTTACCACTTCGTTAAAACGACGCTATTACTGTAGCGCGTTCTCGCAGTGCCAGAAACAGTTCAATTTATTCAATAACGTTGACATTCACTAGAACATCTCCCAAAAAGCTGTTCATTAAATTAGGCAGTTTGTGTTTGCATCAGAGTTGATTATGTTAATCGCACGAAGTTACTCTCACAGAAGACATAAAACTACAGGTTATAGACGTATATAAAAGGGTTAATATCGCGGACAGTTAAAATGAAACTTTTCGGCGAACTTTTATTAGTGAAATTCGTAAGTTTAAATTGTGTTGCCATAGAACTTTTGGTTGCTGTAAAACTATTTCAAATGAGTTATCTACTAAAAGAGAGATGAGAAAATTGTTTGTTTGTAAGTATGTAAAAGTAAAGTAAAAGTAAGAGCATGTCCCACTGCTGGGCAAAGGCCTCCTGTATACAGAGGGTATATGTATGTAAGTATGTACGTATACACATATTAAATAACTTAGTGAAAATGTTGTAATTTATTTAAATACACGTGAGTTTTATACAACTTTTATACAGGAATCCGTTTGCTGATGACAATATTAGTACACGAACATTTTAAGTTACCGTATAGACTGACATTATATAATAATGTTATCCGTTATGAATAGAATTGTCCGTTAAGTATTTCATATTTATATTACCTTAATTGTGTCATGGCACATTGCAAGTTGATTAACAACAGTAAATCAGCTTGCAATTTTCACTTTATTTAACAAAACAAAGTGTCAAAAGAAAAAGAAGCTGGTCACATAAAGAAATAATAAGGGCCAGCGAGCAAACACAAGAAATAAGCATATAGTTCGTTAATATATATACCCGCATTCATTTAAATAAGTTTTATATTCATTTAAATTAGTTTATCGTGTTATAAAAAGGCAAACGGTCCTCGCGACTCGGCCTAATCGACACTTTTGTATATATGTACATTTTTATATAATTACATTTAAATAATTTAAGCGTATTGCACAGATAAAAAAACCATTTATAGGTGAAACGAACTGTTGTGTGGATGTTTGTAGGCGCTGTATGCTGTGTTAGTGAGGACTAAGATCGGAAACGGTTCTTGCACAGAGTGTCAAAGTTTTAATTGATTTTTTTAGTGTCTGTTTCTGTTGTGTTCGGCCACTGAAAAATACATAGTGATTAGTCAAGATAAAAGTGATTTATTCCGTGGACGTGAACATATTCCTGATGTGAAATGAAAGCAATGTGAAGAGGTATCGTGTCGTGACTTTTTCATATTATGTCGCAATAAAAAAATTATAGTCATCTATACTAAAATAACATAAGCTTTTTGTTTGTACACACAAAATAGGTAGAAGAAAAGAATCAATTTTGAGTCTTTTTTTTTTAAATATTGCAATAGTACTTTGTTAAGTTACGGTGTTACGGTCACGCTGTTGCACGAATGGGCAGGTCCGTCCGGGTAAGTGCCACGACCTTAAGAAGACCGGCGTGGAGTGGAAGTTTTATACTTCTGCGTTTTGTCTGGTGAGTGAGGTAACCGGAGCCCACATTATTAAAATATGGCAACAAATCTACAATCCTACGGGTGTTGCAAATGTCGGGCGGTGGTTATTACTTAAGATCATCACATAAAAAAAAGTAACTAGAAAAGTTTTAATCAAAATATAATAATAAATTAAAGTAGTATACGCTCAATGGTCGAAATTTGACCATAAGTAATTTTATGTGTGTAATGTTTTTTATTTAATGTATTTTTTATGCCTAATTTAAAAAAAAATAGTATTCTGCACTCCTTCTATATATAAACAAACTCTAAGTTTGGGAAATTTCATACACCTCCGTACTCCTCCGAAAAGTACATGGTTCCCTAGGGATTTTTACATGAAACTGTATATTTTACGGATTTTGTCGCGTTTAATTAAGATTTTAAAATTTTGAAATTTCCGAAGTTTCGAACCCTTTCCAGGAAATAAAAGTAAATAATAGAAGTAAGTTAAGGAAATAACGGCGGTGGGGCCACGCAGCAGCCTCGGCTGTTGCACGAATGCCCGTCTTGCTAAGTACCACCACCTCACAGAAGGCCGGCGTAAAGTGGAAGTATAATACTTCCGCGTTTCGTCTGGTGGGTGAGGTGGCCGGAGCCCAATTTTCAAAAGGTTGTCGACGCATCTGCAAACCCTCGGGTGTGGCAGATGTCCATGGGCGGCGGTATTTCACTTAAGACTCGGGGAACCACCTGCTCGCTTGGCAACTTTTCACATAATAAATATATAAGTGTCAAGATAGTTGGCGTTTCACCTGATGTTAAGTGATTACCGCCGCCTGTGGACATTTGCAATTCCGGTTTTAGAAGCGTTGCTACTATTTAATAAAGTAGGCTGCGGTTACCCTTGCCAGATGAGATGCGACCCGAATGGCGTAGTGGGCAGTGTACCTGCCCCCTGCAACAGAGAGAGTGGGTTCGATACCCACTACTAAAAAATATTGTTTGATGAACATAATGTTTTTCTAGTGTCCGGGTGTTTATATGTCTACAACATGTATTTGTATACAAAAGAAAAGTATGTTTAAATATGTTTATCTGGTTAATTAGTTTGGGACTAGAGAACTTATTTTATAGAGAATTTATTTATTTATATGGAAGTGTTATTCTTCACGGTGATCTTCTGTGAGATCGTGATACTTCCACGAACGGACCTGCCCATTATTGCTACAGCGTACTGCAGTTGCGTGGCTCTACCACAGTCAATAGCCAGTATTACCTACTATTCACAGGGTTCCGCAACCAAAGGGTAAAACGTGACCCTATTACTAAGACTCCACTGTCTGTCTGTAACCAGGTTATCTCTCATGAACCACGATGGTTGGACGATTGAAATTTTCACTTATCAATAAATACTAAACAATAGAATAAAAAACATTCAAGTGGGGCTCCCATACAATACACATAATTTTTTTGCCGTTTTTAAAGATAATAATACAGAACCCTTTGTGCGTTAGTCCGACTCGCACTTGGCCGTTTTTATCTCTTAATTCAACTGACTGGGACAAAATAACCACGGTTAAAAGAGAGTTGCTTTCTTAATTTTTCCTTAATCATCAATTATTCAGCAATTAATGAAAATAGTTACACATAGCAACTGCATGAAATATTTTATAAGTCATTTGCCTTAGTTGTATATATGGATTTTTGAAGAGATAGCGCTATCTACTTATCAGATGGGTCCATCGATACATTTCAATGTGATAGACACATCTTCTAATATCTTGAGAACATTCAACAAAACAATTCTACGTCATTTGTAGTTTTATTTAAATGCAGTCCACACGAGCTATAGAGGTGCGCGTTCGTGTAGAAAAGGTAGACCATTTTAAGAATAATCAACTTTGTAATGTAAAACTATTCTGGTTTATTTTCAATTTCACAATATATTGAAGGTCACTACTCAGTTGAAGCACATTTCGTAATAGTAATATTTCATCATATATCGACAGTTTGAATAGTTACACGGTAACTATCTGATAACTGTCTAAAAAATCGCTTTTGTTTCAATAAGTGTATTCGTCAGTTATGTAGATTTCCTTCAGCGGAAACAGTTTAGAATCAGTTCAGCACTTAAAGATTATCCTTTAGATGTAAATAAACAAATTTTACCTTTATAACATTTATATACAAATTAATTCGCTGTCGGAGGACTCAAAAAATCCAATTTGCTTTAACTCATTTATTTCAGCAAACCTTGACTCGTAGGATTGTGTCGCGATGTTCCGAAGAAGACGCTGCATAGTTGCACTTTTCTATGCGAACGGACATGTAACATACACTATCCTGACTAAACATACAACTAGATTGTTCAAGGTCGAAGACCCAAATTCAGAACCAGGATTAATAATAATAATAATAATAAATATTTAGGACACATTTGTACACAACATTTTCTAGTCCCAAACTAAGCAAAGCTTGTAATTTGGGTACTAGAAAACTCATAGACATACTTAAACATACTTTTCTTTTGTAAATAAATACATATTATACATATATAAACACTCAGGCACTATAAAAACACCATATTCATCACACAATATTTTTCCAGTAGTGGGGATCGAACCCACACCCTCTGGCGCAGGAGGCAGGTACTCTACCCACTACGCCATTCGGGTCGTCGTTGTAATCTGTAGATCATAAATTTAAATGTTCATTGACAGTCACAGGGGAAAGTACCGAAGACCAGCCTAAATATTCTTTCGTGTCCGTTGATTTCACTACGTATGATCAGACGTAACGTTTATCTCTTCACCAGTTTTTATAAGAAGTTTGCAAAGTCGCTATATATTGATGTTTCGGTTTAAACCAACCTCAGTCATACCTCAATCAAGGTGTATTAGGAATGTTTTTTTATCACAAACTGTAAACAGTGACCTTGATGTTATTTCACAACTAAAACATTTGATTTCAGACTGCTGTAATCTCTTCTTGTGATGGCATCCTCCGATTGAGGTCGTCGCAATTCATTCAGTCTTGAATTCGGCATACGGTGCTTGTTACGGACCATACAATTTGTATAGGATTTAGAAAAATGGGGAAGCTGCAGCAATTTCACACGGCAATATCATGTAAGTCTTTATGTCTGTATGCAAATATCATGTAAGTCTTTATGTCTGTATGAAAATATCATGTAAGTCTTTATGTCTGTATGAAAATATCATGTAAGTCTGTGTACAGAGTAAAATTTATATGTAAGCAAATGAATACTGACCCATTTCATAACTCACCGGCTGTTTCCAAAGCAGTCCTTTGACTTTGTAATATAAAAAAAATGTTATACTTATTGTTGCTCTCTCTCTCTATATTATATTTAATCTATCATGGTATTCATTTGTGGTATTTCGAAACTTTTGCAGCTTTTATACTTTAATAACTGTCCCAATTGTTAGTAAATATCTTCAATTCAAACATTACGGATGGCCTAATGGGTGCATTAATGTGCAGTATAAATTTATATAAATCGATAATAAAAAAAGGATTGTGTGATTATGACACTTATCGGAGTTTATGGTAATTGCTCTTTAATTACAGTTTTTATTGACGCTTCAGAGCTACCCGTTTATATTGATTCCATGGAATAACATTGTAAACGTCACGGCATGTTTCATAAAATTAAATTACATTGATATCAATTTCATTAGCTGGAGTCTGTGCTATTAAACATACTGAATTAAGGAAATCAGGGTGGTAGGGCCACGCAACAGCCTCGGCTGTTGCACGAATCGGCTGGCTCGTCCGGGTAAGTACCACGACCTCACAGAAGACTGGCGTAAAGTGGTAGTATGACAAATACTTTCGCGTTTCGTCTGGTGAGTGAGGTAGCCGGAGCCCAATTTTCAAAAGGTTTAGCAGATGTCAATGGGGGGCGGTATTTCCTTAACACCCGTCTGCTAGCTTGGCAACTTTTCACATTAAAAAAAATTCTTTTCCTTATTACGTAGTTTTCACAAATGTATTTATCAGTATGAATCATCAAATAGTAGAAAAGCCTTGCGATCAAAGAGTAATAAATGGAAGTAAACATATAATTTAGAATTTCCCTTTTATTTTTATACGCATTTTTTCCAATATAAATGGATGAAATACTTTATATGTATATGTTGTATGGTTGTATATATTTAATTATTTCATATGCTTTCACAATTATGTTTTTTTTCAAGGTTCATTCCCGTCACTACTAACTGGCTTACTGTACGTTTGGCCTTCGTACACATTGGGGCTGTATACAGCTAGCGACACAGTACTTCTCACTGCTCCCATGGCAGACTTGGAGAGCTCTTTGTTGGGGAGTCTTCCACCTCTAGGAGCTATGTTCGGAACTGTTATAGTAGGGTGGGTAATAAGTCGCTTCGGGAGGCAGAAGGGCAGCACGCTGTTGGCATTACCTTTCGTGGTGAGTGGTTTTAATAGTTCGTACCTATCTATCAAATGTATCTTTAGCTTAAAAGTTACTATATATCTACTATATATTTCATATATGTTGTCTATATATGTCTCACTTCTAGGTAGATGGCATAGAAATAATTTATCCAATTGTTTGGAATCATACAAGGCTACGGCGTGGGGGGTCGTAGTTGATCTCTCGCAATTTTCGGGTTAGGATCTTGGATTTGAGTGGGGTCAGCGACTTCAACGACCATGCTTTATACAGCGTGTCTTTGCAATCGCGACAATAAATGAACACACGTCTAACGCTACTTGCCAATAATCATAAAAAAAATATTAACGTTAAAAAATCCATAATTAAAAAAATATTTTTCAAACAAACTAATTAAGTAAGGAAGAAACAAAATTTGTAACATCCTATATAACAACAACTGATTGATTCATACATTCAGAAACTCGTTGCCACAGCGTCGCATTACAAGCCTCTCCTTCTAAAAGTATGCTTTGTCTCTTTCAAATTAATTCAACCCATTCATATGCTTTGTGACCTTTACAAATGAACTTTACGTTACAGTTTTATACGTAAGGCTGGCTGAAAGGTTCTCGAGTGGCAGCCTCGTACTGGCCATCGCAGTGTAGGACGACCCCCCCACTAGATGGAGTGACGACCTGTGCAAATGTGCGGGAAGTCGATGGATGCAGGTGGCTCAGGATCGTACTTCGTGGCAGTCTGTGGGGGAGGCCTATGTTCAGCAGTGGACTCAAACAGGCTGAAATGATGATGATGATGATGAAAGAATGTAAATGACTGTATAATGCAATTTTAATAAGTTATCCTCTATATGTGTGTTCATTTATTGTCGCGATTGTAAAGACACGTTGTATAAGACCTGCACTGCTGTTCCTGATATTCCTAGGGCTTACTTTTTTTGGAATATAAAATATGCTACTGCTCTTGATACATCGGTATTTGTTTTTCAGCTGTCCTGGGTCATGATTGATCTTTCTTCCTCATCAATCTCCATCCTGGTGGCGAGATTCATTGGTGGTATCGGATGCGGCTCAGTACTGGTCTACTCTCCCATTTTCATATCCGAGGTAGCCGAGGAGTCAATCAGAGGGACATTAACATCAGGTAAGCCGCTTTCTTTAATAAGCCCTTTTATTACTAATAATAAAATAAGGTCTAAACCTTAGTAGTTCTAAACTTATTTGGGGACGGTTGCTAGAGAATTAATTATTAGACTAAGGTTTTGGAAAAAACAATGTTCTTCAAGCGCATATCAGGTGCAGTTTGGCTTGAGTAGATGTAAAACTTGGAATACAAGGAGTGAAATAGATAGCACTATTGTATCTCGGCGTGGGAGTTTAAACAGTCGCTTATCACAAAACTTTGCACCCGTGCTGCACTATAATTACATATTTAGAAGTTTTTTATGAGAAAATGTATCCAGAATTTACCAGAAGTGAGGTCTAGTGCCAGTAGTGCAACTGGCATAACCTTAAAGGTTTTGTGTCAGTTGCACTGCCAACTTTCATGAGATCTTGACTACCTTTTAATTCATTGAAAATCATTTAGCTACTTTAGGGGTTTCCCTCTTGAGTACGAACTTTTCAACGGCAATAATTGATTTCTTCATCAGTTCCCATCGCCATGTACTGCTTAGGAGTGCAGCTTTCCTACATTCTTGGTTGGGTGCTGACCTATCGTTACATACTGTGGGTTAACCTGGCGTGCAGCATTCTAGCAGTTGCCCTGATAATGACGGTGACAGAGAGTCCAGTGTACTTACTGCGCCAGAACAGAGAGGAGGTTGGTGGGATATTACCGCTTATTGATTCGAAAGATTGTATGTGATTTTTTTCATAGCAAATGTGCCAATGTGTCTCAGGTACATTCGAGATTAACAACTACATTCGACATTATGTTTTACAAATTTATGTATTTGTTTACTATTCTGTATTAGTTGTTGGTGATATATTTAAATGAAAATTAATTCAAAATATACCATTAAATGTAATAATGGTACAATGTTTGTGTAATTTTATGAAATTTTCATTTAATAAAAAAAAATCAATATTACATACGACGAAGGATGCAAGACTATAAGAGATAAGTGACATGAAATTTAACTTATGCTTTTGCCAAACAAATATAAAAACGTAATCATTAGAGCTTAGTACAGTAAAATAATTTTTTTACTTCAATTTTAAGTTTACTGGCATGCAGCATTTTAGCACTAACTTTAACCTTACTTTACCATCAATTTATTTCGCTAATAAACTTGAATTACATATTTATCAAGTTGCTACTGGAGTAATTCCAGTGTTTCAGTTGTCCGGAACAAAGTTATCCAAGATCTCGGAAATGGTATTTCATCCAATGAAAATGTTTCAGGAAGCTAGACTGGCCATATCCCATTACAGGAGTGAATCGTCGACGTCCAAAGTAGTTTTGGAAGAGCTGTCTCGGCTTAAGCAACAGATAACGCCTGCCGTTGAATTGATCGAAATGGACAGTGGTTAGTAAAATTGCTACTATTTTTTATTGTATAAACGAATTCTTTGGTGTTAACAGGTACATAGATTGAAATGAATAATGATTAGAAAATGAGTGTTTAAGTGGAAAATGTTCCTAAAAATGGTTTATGTGGATTTAACGACCAGCAATAAAAGCGTCAGACGATTAAAAAACAAGTCAAATTCGATTACTTATCACTTAAAGCAAGTCCATGAAGCGCTATTCCATTAAAGAGAATAAGTTAACATAAAAATTGAACGTAAAATCTAGTCATTAATTGAATTAATGAATACTCAAGAGTAGCATAGTATTAACAGTTTAGACTAACTGACAGTTTAACACATAGTTTACTACTAATAGTTGTACTTTTTCGCAGATGACAATATACAATCGGAGGAAGCGGAGAAGGAAAAGCTCAACATGGAAAACCATACAAAGGCAGTGAAAGCAAGAATGTCCTCTTTTAAATTACTGTGTAAGTTTGCAAATACAGTCTCATACTTTCGTAATCAGGTGCTGAAAATTTTTTGGAATACCAGGAGGATGAAAATCATAGTATTCTTAAATTACTTTTCTTAAACTTACTCCTAGTTCTATATCCGCGAATGGAGTATCACCGATCTGACTAAATTTATTAGTATCATATGTGTCCATTTATTTCCCCTTTTTACCCTAATCTATAATGAGGGTAGAATAGTATCCATCTCTTGGTTGCAGATCTTCAAGTATTTTGGAATTAAGTGATTTAAATAAGAGATTTAAATTTATAAAAACAGGATAAATAAAACAAAAAATCTATAATTTCAGTTACGTCACCGTCTTCACGTCGAGGTTTCATGATAGTCAGTTTAGCACTGTCTCTGCAGGTATACTCATTTCAAAATACTATAAAACTTACCACATTTGGATCTTATACGTAGTAAGAATCGTTAAAAGCTGACTATTTCAGTCGAGAACATTAGATCAAAATTTTTCTATGAATAATACCGATTTTTAATGTGTTTTTATGGCTACGATTTAAGACTTTGATATTGAGAGCTTTAGGTTCACTATGCTTGTTGATATCATTTAATTCGGTTGACAGTCAGACAATCAGTCTACCTTAGTAGCCTCCCGATTCATACACTCTGATGGTTTTCAGTTTTTTTGTCACGCGTTGGCTATCACCCTTCAATATCGAAATTCATTACGCTACTAGTAACTATTATTATTTATTATTACGCTACTAGTAACTATCACTATTATTGCCCTTCCTTTCCTTCTGCTTTCAGGTCATGATAGGAATGGTAGCAGTCCAGGTGTATGCAAAGCAGATCTTCAGTCAGGCGGCGCCGAGTCTGTCGTCTCATTTATGCTCTGTGGTGTTCGCTCTGGTTATTTTCTTTGGGAGTGTTGTTAGTCTAGTGGCGGCTGACAGATTCGGTAGGAAGGTGAGAAAATCTACCTTTTATCATTTTAAAATAATTTTGCCATGAAAAAACTGTTAGATCTAGAACTGTGGTAGGTCCACGCAACAGAGTTCGCTGTTGAACGAATGGGCAGGTCCTTCCGGGTTAGTACCACGAACTCACAGAAGACCTGCTTGAAAGAGGTGTTACAAATCTGCGTTTCGTCTGGTGAGTGGGGTAACCGGGGCCCACTTTATTAAAAGTTGGCAACGCATCGGCAATCCTACGGGGGTTGCGAATGTCCATGGGCGGCGGTTATCACTTAACATCAGGTGAACACTTTGTCACTTAAAAAAGTAAACTTTAATTATGTCTCATTGGATGAAAAGTTGCGAAGGAAGGCAATGTTGAACATATTGCCCCAAGAACTTATAGAATGAAACATATTTATAAATGTATTAAGAAAATTTTTTAGGTATTTCAATTAAATATCATCATTAGCCACTGCCGAACATAGCCTGCCCTTAGGCAAGGCTGTTGACAAATTTTTGCAAGCTTCTGACCAATTGTGTGTTTCATAGCTTTCGTCGATTTTTGCTTGATATTGCGAAATTATTATTTTGAGGTGCTAATCAGAAAAATTACATTGACCGATTTATAAAATAAATAAAATTAATCGAACAATTATGACTACTATAAGAACAATTGAAATATTTTAATATCCAATTTCTAGGACTAATTTAGCCACCAAAACTTTTAGGAGGATCTTTAAACTCTGTAGTTAGTGTCAAAGTAGTTACCAATTGTAAAAAAAAATCACTAACTTATTTTACGACCATTTCGTAACCAAACTCTAACACGGAACACTATTTTAGAGTTCAAATTGAATCCTATGGGTCACTTTTTAGATTGGGCCCTAGAAAGATTTACTGGAATACGTTTTTATACGCTCAGATTTTAGATAATAAACTGTAATACATTGTTATAAGTCAACACGTAATCTATTTAAATGTATTTAATAATTATGAGACTAATATCAAAAACTAATGTGGTTGCTTTTTTGGTTTTCTAATATTCCAGTTCCTGCTGATATCGTCGTCTATATCGGTCGCCCTCTGTCTCGTCGCCATGGGTGTGTTCCTACAAACTAGCATAGTGTCACCCTGGGTGACTGCGCTCCTAATCTTGGTTTACTGCTTCTTCTTCATGTATGGGGCTGGTAGCGTTCCTTACGTGCTGGTGGCGGAATGCTTCGTGCCCGAGGTGAGTTATGTTCGCGTAGTTGTACAAATATGGTACTCTTCTAGTTTTCCCATTGGAAAAACACGAATTACTGTTGTCCTGCCTAGTTTTTATATGACTACACCAATTTGTATATTTGTATATTTTTCCTATTCGGTGTCGAGACCCTTTGTTCGAGGGTTCTAGCGCTATAGGGCTTTTTAAGGAAATGGCAAAAAGGTTAGTCGACATCACAGGAGACCGAAGGGGTGGCAGCTACCTCGGACAAAGAATTAATCTGGCGATTCAAAGGGGGAACGCTGTCAGTATCTTCGGAACCTTGTCTAAAGAGACTCCTTTTAATAATATATTTTAGTTATTATATTATATATATATTTTTAAGGTTTTTAGTTATATTATGTGAATGTATGTTTATGTTAATTATTTAGAAGTACAACCGTTGTAAACTGACTTTAGACCAATGTCAAAAAGCTTTTAACATTATTATTTGTATATTTCATTAAGAATAGGACAAGTAGACAATTCATAGAAGCGATTTATTAATAAAAAAAATTATTTATTAATAAGAATAATTTATTAATAAGAAATATTATGACGCTTGAACTCACGTTTAATCGATGAATGTATCGACTAGCTTCTGACCCATCGGAGATCTTTCATCAGAGTGAGTGGGATAAGTTGGCGGTCGCTCCCCGTCTCACACTGTGCCCGAGCTCGCTGCGCGCGGGTTTACAGAGATGGGGCTTCGGTGGTGGGGACTCCCCTGGCGTTTATCTTGTATTAACTTATGTTTGTGCTTTCAGACCCGAGACTATTAAAGCCTCATCTGACGCAGAACCGGTGGGCTAGCCAGGGCCCACGGGTCTGGGCCCTCCGCTGTGGGGCCGTGACTCCACTGGTGCTTTGTTCGAAGCAAACGCAAAGTTTAAGCCTCGCGCGTATGCGTAGCGATAGACTTAACATACTAGGTCGATGTATTAGAGCAAAGTTGTCTCACAGCACTCACTGTTGTGCCTTCATTTTTTAACAGGCGCTTAAGTTTTTCTTCTTGACTTCTGATTGTTTCCAACTTTATTCTTACAACATCAATTAAACGTGAGTGCAGTCACCTTATTATTTCGTTAAATAATAATAATGCCTGACGTAAGTTTTAATATTTTTACCCGAACTTATTGTCTCAATGTGGTCTAGAAAATTTACGGGTTTTAGCAAAAAGTTAACATATTAAGGAGCAAAATAGTAAGACTTTAATATTGTCTCGAGGCGTTCGTTTGAAATTCATGTAACAACACGTTTTTTTTTTTTCACTTTTATGTGCAGATTTATATGTGCCCCTAATTATGAAAGTGAGTTTATCACTTACACCATTTATCATTATTATAAACTAAATTTATTCAATTTAATATTTACGACATCGTCAAAAATAAACCTTTACATAGTGGCTGTAATTTCAACGTTATACGGAATTCCTTTAGTATTATCTATGAAAGTGGTCCATGTCAACATTATTATGAAATTATATAAACCTTCGGGCTTAGCATGGGTGCAATGTATTATGCATAAAAACCTTTCTCTTTAATCACTCTATCTAGTAAAAAATACCTCATCAAGATCCGTTGTGTAGTTTTAAAGATAAACATTTAAAACGTATAACATTTAAAGCATACATAGGGACAGACAGACAGGGGGACGACTTTGTTTTATACTATGTAGAGATAACCTGAAAATGGTGAATTTTAAAGTTTTTTATAGTGCTAATCTCTGCACTTAAGATCGAACATTAAAACATGTAGAAAAAGTAGTATATATTTTATCTATATATCTTTCGTACTTTTTCTACATGTTTTAATGATCAATCTTAAGTGCAGATATTAGCACTATAAAAAACTTTAAAATTTATAAAAAGCAATGGCGACATCTCTCGTTCGAATTATCGTTGTAAAACGATATTCGAAATTGTTTGTATGCTGGAAAGGATATAATGTCTAAATAGATGCGCCAAGCATTGCTTCAAATGCGAAATAACAATGTAGAAAGAACGCGTTAAGATTTTCGTCGCTGTGGCTATCAGCCGTTTAGCTCAGTGGCTAGAGCGTCAGGCCGCGAATGCCGAAGACGTGGGTTCGATTCCCACAGCGGCGACAATCTTTTGTACTTTTTCTACATGTTTTAATTTTACTGAAAATGGTGGATTTTATTTCAACGAAATCAGTAGAAGAATCAAGAGGTAAGAACCAGCCAAGTGCGATTCGGACTCGCGCACGCAGGGTTCCGTAACATTATCTATAAAAACAGAAAAAAAGGCTTGTTGTAATTTTTATTCTGTTTTTAGGATCTGATCTTTAAAAATTTCAACTGTCTTAACTATCACAGTTCATGAGATACAGCCTGGTGACAGACGGACAAACAGCCAACGGAGTCTTAGTAATAGGGTCCCGTTTTATCCTTTGGCTACGGATCTCTAAAAATACCGCGGGCGACTCTATCTCTTAGCAATCAATTATTGGATGAGATTATGTGTTTACTACCATACTTTACTCAAGATTTTCAGGAACATTTTAACAACCTTAAGACCTCGAAATAATAAAAATGGATTACTTTTTAAAAATAATTAATAAATGTTCATAAATAATTTCATTGAAGTAATTTTTTCAAATAGAACTCGCAGTTATTTATTGCTTTAAGTCATTTATAACACATTCAGTTAATTTTGAAAATGGTACAAGTCAATTCAAGCTTTAAAAACAACATTTTCGTATGAAATTCAGATAAAATATCATATTTATATATATTATTCATAATAAAATTCGATTAATAAAGATTAAAAAAAATTATACATTAAATGTAAAAATATTTTTTAATTTGTTCAAATGCAATTCATCAAATAATATACATATGAAATTGGCGTTTTGTACGGGAGGAAAAAATTTTTTTTTTGTAAAATATACTTAATTAATCAATGTATGCACCGTTATCTATGCACTTTTCCCATCTCATAGGTAGTTTTATTGATGCCTTTACTACAAAAAACCATGGGGGCGAGAATCAATAAACTCTCTGAAGGCGGTTTGGACTGCCGTATCAGAGTTAAATTTTTTAAAAAGTTGTCCAAATTCCGGAGACATTTCCGTTGTGCAAGGTCCGGGGAGTGTGATGGATGTTGAAGACATTCCAATTGTAGCTCATCTAACTTAATGGTTGTTTGTTGTGCAGTGTGGTCTTGCGTTGTCATGAAGCAGCAGTGGCCTAGAGCAATCTCGGTTGTTTAGCAGCTAGTTCTTCTTTCATGGTTTGCAGTTGCTGACAATAGATATCTGCCGTAATCTTTGGGCCAGTTTTTAGAAAGCTGTAGTGAACAACATTGGCGCTAGTCGACGAAAACTTTTTCTGAGTCAATTTTCGTTTAGGGCAGGATTTGGCTGGGTCTCCAGGGTTCAGCCATTGCGACGAGCGCTTTCGATTATCGTACAGTATCCACTTTTCATCACAAGTCATGATTCGATTCAAAGTCACTTCTTTACTGTGTCGATTGAGCAAAGTAACACAGCAGTCGATGCGTGTTTGCAAGATCGATTCAGTCAATTCATGATGTAAACGATGCGTACCTCATGAATCATATTTTTTTTTACTTTATCGATTTGCTTCAAGTGGATTAATACAGTTTTATAAAGTTTTATAACTTACCCCAAAGCCAGAAGCTATCTCTGAAGTGTTTTGTGATGGATCCGCTTCCACAATAGCCTTTAATTGCAGCCGTCCACGGGGTTGATTCTGAAGGTTGAACGTAGCGTGCTTTCTTTTGCGACACCAGCAACAACATCATTAATCCTTCGAGCTGTTTCTGCAGCACGGTATGGTGCCACGGTAGAATTCGTGCTCATAAAGATACCGATATTTAATGTTTTCCATTGTGCGGTAATAAGCGACGCCAAATAATGAAATAATGAATAAAAAACAAATGAATCTGTTTTCAAAACTCAAATGTACCAGATAAATGAATTTATAAATTTGAATTTGGAATTCTTAACCAAAGAGGAGATAATTTCATATGTAAGGACCTAATATCTCGATACCCAAAATATATGACTTAGACCATTTTCATAATTATGGGGACATATGTCATTATCGTAAATTGTATGTTTAATCTAGTTATCCTAGGTACTGAGAATAACAGCCTATTTTCTTAATTTTAGGTGCAGAGCCTTGCTTCCATCCTTCTCATGGAGTGGGTCTGGCTTCTGAATTTCTTCATAATCGGGGTCTTCCCCTTCATGATCAAATATTTCGGGATTCACGGCTCCTTCTACGTGTTCGCCTTTTTTGCAATTCTTAACAGTTTGGTTGGACTTTTCCTTCTGCCAGAAACGAAAGGGCTAACAAACGAACAGATACAAGAGGCTCTGTTGAGGAGGAAGAAGTAATCCAGAGGAGTGACAACTGACTTGGGTTTGGATCTCAATGGATCGCAGCAAATCTTATTGGATTTCGGTTCGTTGTGTGTGAAAATGACTTTATCGCGTCTATATTAACCGTGGCAGTGTCACCATTGGTACTGGGAATGCAATAAGAAGTGTGTTAGCAGCAATTCTAGTGCCTTATACGTTACAGTATTAAAATCGTTAAGTGTTAAAGAATTATGAGTTGCATATATCAACTTCGTTCTACGTGTTCACCTGTCTATATAATGAAATCTCATGTCGATGTAAATAGACATAGACAAAAGAGTGTAGATATGAGTGTAGATGACAATCTTAAACGCAATACAAATTACATTAGGAAAAACTTTGTTAATATTTCAGATTCAGATTTGTGCTTTTATGTACGTTAACGTGTGATTATAATAAATTTAAAATAGTTGTAAGTTAGTAATTTTTTAATTTGTATACATATTTCAGAAATTTTGTCACTCTTATCGAAAAATAGTTGACTTTATTCCTAAATTTTATAAATTTTATAAATTTCTTAAAATATTGTACAATGTTAAGTTTAATTTAGAACAAACAGATTTTATAGTTATTTTAGCTATTGACTGAGTACAATTTGAATTAGAGTCCGAAATTCTGTTTTTGTCTATGCCACATATAAATAGTATATGTGTATGTACGTGTCGATGCTGCAGGTTGTGTGAAATAGCGATGATTCTAACTGTATATTGTATGAATAATAAATACTGCTTTTTGTTTAATATATATAATAATAACTGTAATTAAATTTAAAAATTACCTTCGCACTCCTCTTTCTGTTTTGGCGGCTCTTACACAGTGCACGTATATATACGTGCACTGTGTAAGAGCTATAGTTAGTTTTACTGTATATATGTTATATATATATATATATATATATGTATATATATATATATATATATATATCTAGTCTTATATATCTAGTCTTGGGTTCGAATATACACTCAGCGGCACGGAATCTTGTCCTCATAATTTGCATTAACAATTTTAAACCTATATATATATATATCTTTTTACTGTATGTATATATATATACATACAGTAAAAAGATTCGGACAACTTTTAATTTCAAGAGCACAATTTAAAATATAAACCAAAATGCATTCAAATGTACGCCAAACACGCTACGGTCTACCGGAGAGCTTACCAGGTTTGCCTGTGTGTTGGAAAAGATCTGTGCAGTTTATTGCATAGATTTAAGCTGCAGAGGGCGTAAATTCGAAAATCAATTCTTTCAATGACACCTGCGCAGTCAACCCTGTACAGGTAATGTTTCTGGAGTAGCGTGTGTAGTGTACATAGCATTTTTAATTACCCTCTTAGGATAACGTAAACATTATCCCTACCTAGGCCATGATAATAACAAGGTTTAAAATTGTTAATGCAAATTATGAGGACAAGATTCCGTGCCGCTGAGTGTATATTCGAACCCAAGACTAGACGCTTCGATGACGAAGTTTACAGTGCATAGTATGACACGTATCGTTGACTGGTTTTTCAAATCACACTCATTCCTGTAAATAAGCAAAATGCTCATGAAATATCAATTATTAATGCCCAATTTTTTTTTCAAATGCACAGACATTAACATTTGAAATGTGTGTTTACCAATTATCCGTGCATGTAATTTTTATAATTTTAGTGCTAGTCTCTGTACTTAAGATGAATCTAAAATGTGTGGATAAATTAGCTGCCTAGGATTTGTACGGCTGTTTTCCAGCAGCATACGCGATACGCCAGATACTCTACCACTAAGTCAAGCGGTCAATAGCCTCACTAACTTACTTTGTTTCTTATTGTAAAAATTATCTACACTTTATAAGTTCCATGAAGGTTTGTAAAGCGTATCTTGTTTAAAATGATAAAAAGTAAAAGTAAGTGTTAGGCTTTATTGACAAGTGGCTCTCAAATTACGTACCAATGAATCCTTGCTCTTGTTTTATAGTCAATCAGTCAATATTTGTTTGTCTTTTACTTTTCTTCGTTTATGAAGGGGTGTAATAATTTTGCCGCTATGGTGATTAACAATGCGACAGACTAAAATTGTGTAAAGAGCTCAAGCTCAAATGATTTTTATAATAAATTATATAGAGGGCGGATATTTTTTATGTGAACATTTGGTAAGCGAGCGTGTGGTCCACCTAATAAGTATATGCGACACCTGACAGGTTGAAGAGGCTACAGACCATTAATAATTTTTAACAAAAAAAAGACTTCAAACAGAGACTAAAAATATTGTTAATACATTCTGATGCATCTCTGGGATGCCATCAGATCCGGGTTTCCTTATCATGGTACCACCCTTGGGATATTTCCTCGTCAACAAAAAAATAATCATCAAAATCGGTTCAAACGAAGCTATCCGCGAACACACATAAAAAACATAAAAATATACACTGTCGAATTGAGAAACCTTCTTCTTTTTTGTAGTCGGGTAAAAAGTGGACACCGATTCCCTCACTCAGACGAAACGCGAAGGTAGATACTTCCACTTTAAGCCGGGCTCATATGAGACCGTAGTACTTGGCCGGACGAGCCAGGCCTGATTTTTACTTTAATTCAAACAGTAGTAAGTTTCCCTTGGCACCCATAACGCGATAGGCTAACGCGATAGTTCGAGACCACAGTACGTTCACAAAACAAATATTTAATGTAAAGATTATAGAGCTCTCCATTTGTAGCGACTGAGACAAAATAACAACGATAATACTATACAATAGGAGAGTTACTTATGAAAATAGTAACACAGCAAATGCATATTGTTCTATTTTATTCCTTAGCTATATCTGTCCTTGAAGAAATAGCGCCAGATAGCGCTAGGTAGTGCTATTTCTTCAAGGGTGTCTGGTGGTTAATTATATATGTTTAGACGAGGCAATTAAACACGGCTCAGTAACAGAAACAGAAACTAAAATTTATTTAAATATCAATTTGTCATATCCTATTAGAACAATCAAACGATAGCATGATTTAACTTAAGTAGCGCCATCTAGTAAAATCTATCAGAACGTAAGATACATTATAACGTGAACATACCGCCCCCCAAAAGGACGTCAGGCCTTCGGCGTCTGACCATCGACATATTTAAATGTTGTCAACATAATTATGTCATAGAAAATTGGGGACGTGAGCAACGAGTTTTTACTGCATAGTATTACTATAAAAAACTATTTTTTTTTATGAGAAAAGTTACCAAACGAGCAGACGGTTCACCTGATGTTAAGTGAATACCGCCGACCATGGACATCTGCTACGCCCGAAGGTCCCAGATGCGTTGACAACCTTTGAAAAAACAACAACCGTTGAAAATTGGCATCCGGCAACCTCACTCACCAGAAGAAACGCGGAAGTATTATACTTTCACTTTACGCCGGTCTTCTGTGAGGTTGTGGTACTTACCCGGACGAGCCTGCCCATTCATGCAACGTGTCGTGGCGCTACCATGTTTGAACTAAAAAAAGAGTCATCTTTAAATGTTATGAAATAGATTGCAGAACAAATATTGATAGTAACTGAAGGCATTGAGGATACTCAATAAATGTTTCTGTTTCTGTTTGGGATACTTTCATTATATCGCCATCAGATTTAATTTATGATCAAGTAATTCATGTTGACAAATGATGTAAGTCATGTTGACAAATCTTTCCAACTTCATATTAGCACCGTCATAAATTAACTCATATCTCGTTCAAATAGCGCGTAACAGGTGTCATTCTATTTCAGTTTGTTCAATCTGATAGCGGAGAGAGTCAAATAGTAAAATTAGCATCTTGCTTTGTGTTATTTTTTCCTGTTAACTTGCTTCATTCTAAATTGTTAGTTTGTTGTGTCTCAACATTACCTTAATATCTCACCCTGCTAATTTTGGAAAATACTTCAGAGATACTTTTTTATGAAAAGTACGACATAAAGCCTATGAACATCTAGAACACCTGTGGCGTTGAAGATGCATTGCCAACCCGTAAAATCAGGGGGTCCTGGGATAAACTAGATTACAGACAGACAGTGGGAGTTTAGCAATTGAAATTAATTCTCGTCTCTTGCATAAATCCATAAAACTCATAATACCAAGTGATCATAATAATAATAATACTTAAATATTTGACATTCAAAAAGAACAGAAAAATAGAGAGAAAAAAAAAATTAATAACAAAAATACAAAATAGAACTATGATATAAAAATGTATAAGTAACATTTGACAAAATGCATTAGATTCAGAAAATCCCTAGAAAAGTTCTCAGTGCTGATTTTCAGCTTCATAATTATTATCATCATCATCATTTCGGCCTGTTTGAGTGCACTGCTGATCATAGGCCTCCTCCACCGACTGCCACGAGTTACGATCCTGAGCCACCTGCATTCATCGACTTCCCGCCCGCTTGCACAGGCCATCACTCCATCCAATTTAGCAATGCATATGGATATTTTGTTGAGTCATTTGTGTTCACTTAGTTTATCTCCATCAGTAATTGACTGATTTCAAGTTATCTCAGTGGTCATCGGCAGCGTATTCGCGTTGATGAAACACTTTCGTCTTGGTGTGATACTACTGCTAGCGTACCGCAGGGCGGCGTGCTGTCACTCTTACTTTTTCCTATTTTCATTAATTCAATCACTCAAAAAATATCTTGTCTCTAACATGTATGCGGAGCTCTCTAACATGTATTTTAATGAAGAGGGCCCAGTAACCTCACTCACCAGATGAATCGCAGAAGTAATAACACTACCACTTCACACCGATCTCCTGTGAGGTTGTGGTATTCACTCGGATGGACCTCCCCATTCGTGCAATAGCGAAGACTGTTGCGTGGCCCTACCACTTTTATGATTTATACACTTTTACCTTTATGATTTATTACTATCCTTAAATAAAAATGCGAACTTAATGGCCAAAGCGCTCACTACCAGTCAACTGAAAATGTAGGGAGAGTTTATGGTAGTTGCAGCAGGGGAT